CTTTGTTTTCCTGACTGTGAATCTCTTCTTTTTATCTGACATATTCTTTGACTTGTTCTTTATTTCTGAAAACAGAAATACTGTAGCCTATGGTCATATGACTTTAAAAACAAATTAACATTTGTTCCCTTTTGGCAGTTAGTTTAATAAAAGAGGCTCAGCCATGAGCCGTCTGCTTTATTGCTATTGTTCTTCTCTTGTTGTCGCTTGTAAAACTGCACTATAATTTTCACTCGGTTTCTTTTCTTTTATGTAATTTATTGTATAAAGCAGCTTTGGAGAGGTATCATATTCCACAATATTTATTTATATTTATATTTATATTTATATTTATATGTATATGTATATGTATATGCATATGCATATGCATATGTATAAGTGTAGATATATACAGTTAGTCCTCAACTTATGACTGATTGCCTAACTGTTCATTGTTAGGACAGATCCCTCAAAAGCTAAGGACGATCTGTTTTTGAAGTTACTATGGCCACACCTCTCCCTGTAATTACATGATCACATTTGGGGGCACTTGGCAACTTGGTTCATCTTTACAGTCATTTGTGATGTCTTGTGACCATAATTTGTTACCCTTTTTTGCCGGTTTCCAGAAAAAAATAATACTCAAAATTGATTTGCTTAAGGACTACTGTTTTTCGCTTAATAACCATTGCATTTGCTTAATGACTGCCATAAAAAATGTCAAAAAAATCAGGTTACATGATGCATGGGTATTCCGAATGTTAATTGAAGAATAAAAAACAGTAGATTGATTTTGATTGACCTAAAGTATCTAACATAGAAAAGTCAAAAAATGCAATGTATTTATAGTATAGTAGTTTTGAATTAATGCCTGTAATTGACAAAGTAAATAAGTGGAAGCGTTGTGAGCTTTAAGAAAATACTAAGAATCACAGAAATAGAAATATAGTAATTCAACCATTAAAATTTATACCAGTTTCTTTTTCTTCTTTTCCATTTTTGCTTGCATTTATATGTTTTGCATATAAATTTAGTTGGCAACAGCATGATTATGAATAGGAATTGGGAGCAGATCCAAGATCCATTTTTCAATTGATTCCTTTCTTAGACAAGTACACTGGCAATGAATTGTAAGGATAAAACAACAAAGTCAGAGAAGAGGGAGAACCAGAAGGTTATCTGTTCAAGTAAAGCAGCACGACAGACTTAATGTTTCAAAAATTAAACTATAAGTAAAAGCAAAGTACCTCTTGTAAGAGGCAGAGATTTTGAAAAGAAAAGAATACTTATAATTTAGAAATGAAATTACAGGAAAAGAGCACAAAGAATTCCATATATTATTAAACTTTATTTTTTTTTATAAACATGGTCTTGAATATACGAGTAAATAGTAAGCATTAGAGTTGCCAGATTTTAATACCATATTGTGATGGTATGTGGAAAAGACCTTGGGAGACTAGACCAAGAGTTGAGCCAAGGGAACGGTCAGATAAGAGACAGCATAGTCCATGACTGAATAGTGGACAGGGCAAAAGGTTCAATATAGCTTTACAATGTACCTCACCTGGTAATAAATCCTATCTGATTTACCCTGTGAGGCCAATAGTATTAGTAATAGTAAGCAAAAAACTCTGTTCCCCTGTCTCCTTTTACAGTTCAAATAAAAGATGGTTCTTTTTGAGCATCTTGCTCTGCCAGCTATTCAGTTGCCAGCTATATTAGATACAGATAATCAGAGTTGGAAGGGATCTTGTAGTTCATCTAGTCCAACCCCCCGCCCAAGCGGGAAACCCTACACCATTTCTGACAAATGGCAGTCCAATCTCTTCTTAAAAGTCTCAAGTGATGGCGCTCCCACAACTTCCGAGGGCAAGTGTTCCATTGGTTGATTGTTCTCACTGTCAGAAAGTGACAGTCTCTAACCTGACTGTTCCTTTGGTTGCATCTCTTGGCCCAGTCTCCCAAGGTCTTTCTCATGTGCCATCACATACATAAATTTGGATGACCACCTAGATTAGCCACACAGAGTTCAAGTCTTCTAGATCTGTGTTTTTCAACCTTAGCAACATTAAGATACACAAATTCCCAAGCCAGCCATGTTGGGAGTTGAAGTCCACACTTAAAGTCGTCAAGCTTGAGAAACTGTGTTCTTGATCATTTTGTTGCCAGCTAGTAGTCATCTGATTTAGCACAGCTATATATGATCATCCTAATAAGCACTGTAGTAATTTTGCACATGGGCAGACTGACTTTCCCTTTCTTCATAATCACAACTGGACACCACAAAATTATTGAGGGTATGGATCTGTCCCTGACTTTTCTGACTTTTAAACAAGATGTCATAAAAACTTATTGGGAAATTAAAATGTTATTCAGGTTAATGATATAATAAATAATGTCTCATCACCATAGGAATGCAATATGAAAAACTATTGTGCGCAAATACTTTTCCATTTGTTTTTCTAACAATTTTTTTTAAATGTGGGTTTAAAAAAAAATCCAAAGGAGTCTTTCAGAATGTGCTGGTTCCTTGCAGAAAATGTTAAGCATTTCTATGGGCTTCTTTGAACAAACTCCAGAGGCCCTGCACTCAGTTTGTGTAGAATAACTCCATTCATGAAGAAATTCAATTACTGAGCTAATTATCACCCTGACTGAGCAGTATGAACAAAATTCAAAGTAAGAAGCCACTGAAGAAAAGCCAAATTGCTCAGTCGTCCCAGGAGTTAATTTTTTAAAAGAGATCATACCTGACAGCTGAAAGCCCATGGTCGAATATTCAGCTCAGTTTGGAATGTTGAGTATTAGAGTTTAAAGTTGACCAATCCCTATAGCATTTAACATGTTGCTGCCATAATAATGAAGATATTTAAAAGTGTAAAATAGATGTAATCCATAGTTAAATGACTCCAAAATGTTCACAATGTTTTAGATTAGTAAACACCACTACTTATATTTTTAAATAACCAGAATTAGCTCAAAATTAGAAGAATAAAAATAAGTATAGATTTGGAGTTATTGGCTCTCTTACTGTAAAATTGTACTGGGCATTTCTCTGCTCTATGTTACATACTATTTTCCCTGACAAATCTGTTATTAAAATATCCTTGCAATGTTTTAAAGGTGATATGTCAGTTTTATGACGTATAGGTGCAACATATCGTTTATAACCTATAAATGAGGATTTCAGTTTATCTGCTGAAAAAAAACAAAACCAAAAGCTTAAGTAAAAACTACTTCTTTCTCTAAACTGGGATTCTATTCAGCATCCTTCCTTGTAAAAGCAAATGTTTTTCTTAACTTTAATAACTATTTTTGAAATGGTGATATTAGTATTTTCTTTAGATGCAAAGAGACAACAAACAAGTGATCAAACGTTAATGTCTATTAGGCAGTGAAATGCTATGGCTACCATATCTAGGCTACCATACCAAATCTGAATCACTAGATAGCAGCAGAGAACTACAAAAACTCTAAACGTATTGTTACCATCTAATGGGCATGTAGATGTTTACAGCTCAAATATAGTAAATTCTATATTCTGCTACCATCCTATGACTGTGTTTTGGGTTTAATTCTTTTTTCATATGATGTATTTTATTATAAGCTCTTGCTCTCCAGACTCTGAATAGTTTCATTAAATTGATTTGGACTGGAGGTAGCAAGATTAATACTTATTGGACAGATAAACACCCCCCCCCCCCATGGAACCAAGACATTCCAAATTCTGCTCTTATCATTCATCTGTTTGTTTGCTTATTCCAGTTTATACAGCTGCCCATCTCCTATGTATCCTTCTGTGGCTTACAAACATCAGACCAACAATACAAAAGTATATAAAACCATCAAAAATGTCATAAAATTCTTAGCAGAATTTTACCCTCAAAAACAATCAATGAGCCACTTTTGCCTCTTTCGCTGGTCCCCATGCTTGAGGACAAACCACGTTCTCAAGATCTTTTGAAAGGCAAGCAGGATCAAGAGCAATCTAATCTCTGTGAGTTCCTAAGAGAACATTATAAACGCTCAACCCTGTGGATATTTTATGCCTTCTTAATATTTTTGAACTGAAAGTGGGTGAACTTTTTCTGAAAAATACACAGTGCTTCAAATTTTCTGCCTAGTGTTTAGCTTTCTTTTCCCCAACTCTGTGGTTTGATGTTTTCTGACTAGTCATACAGATAAAGTGAAGCTACTGAACTGAATGATCCCACAAGCCCTAGTGTATGTATATGATTTATATCTATGGTAATGTCAGTCTCAGTTAGCAGGGCAATTAAGAGAAAGCAGAATGACTTTTAAAAAATGAATATACAAAGGTATAAATAATGAGTAAGCAAGAGGAAAATACAGGTAGTCCTCGACTTACGATCACAATCGAGCCCATAATTTCTGTTGCTAAGCAAAACAGCTGTTATGTTGTGCCCGGTTTTATGACTTTTCTTGTCACAGTTGACTGCAGTTGTTAAGTTAGTAACACGGTTCTTAAGTGAATCTGGCTTCCCCACTGACTTTGCTTGTCAGAAGGTCGCAAAAGGTGACCCCATGACCCCAAGACCCTCTAAGCATCATAAATACATGCCAATTGCCAAGCGTCCAAATTTTGATCATGTGACTACAGGGATGCTGCAACGTTTGTAAGTGTGAAAATGGTTATGTCACTTTTTTCAGAGCTGTTATAACTCTGAATGGTCACTTAATGAATGTTTGTAAGTTGAGGACTACCTATGGTAGAGCTGAAAATTACTCGTTCACTTTCCAAATTCTGTTCCATCCAGAGGTGCTGAATTTGTTCCCTATAATCCCACTGCAGGAGGGCATCCTTTTGATTAAACTGGGGTGGTTTTTTTTTTAAGGCATCTGGCAACTTGAGGGAACATTTAGACCATAAGAAAAGAGAGCTAAATTCTGGAGAAGCCAGATTAAAATATATAAAATATATAATTATGCACAAATACATAAAGAGAAAATTTCCCTGTCCACCACCTGACATAATCTATAGGTACCTATCTTCTTTCCAGCACAAAAAGAGCAGACCATTCCAACACAAGACTGGTACTCCAGATTGAAAAGGATGCAGGTAGGAAACAGAATTTTTTTTTAAATGTCTGTTTGTGAAGATAAGTTTATTCAACATATTGAACATATTGAGTTGGATTCAGAGATAGACCAGCAGAAGATGTTCCAGGAAAACTGTTCTGCAAACTTTTGTGGAAGAGCTGCTAAAAGATTCCAACTGTACCAGTTGAGCACATGCCTTGGAGAGACTAGTGCTTCCTTGCTTCTGGTGATGTTATGCATGGAAGATTGCGCACACTTTGTGTTAATAGAAGTGCCTAGTTCTTTTCACACAAGACAGCTGTGTTCTGTTTTTGGAAGGGAAGCTTAATCCAATTCATTTACAGTTGTACTCATGCTACTTTTTGCTCCTCGGGGAAAAGCAAGATATAAATCATAAATACTGAGTAAATGGCAATGTTTGATGCATAAAGAAAATGTAGCTCCACAAGTCAAAGACTGACATAAAAATAATATGAGTATGAATAAAATAAAATGGAATACATAGCTTTATTTATATTTACATATAAATACATAGTATAATAGTGTTTTATATATACAGTATACATACATCAATATAATGAAATGAAAACAGGTTTTTTTTTAAATTTTGAAATAGTGTGGTTTTGCAAAGAAAAATATTTTGATTTAGAAGAGGTGTAAAAGAGTTTTGATGTTCTAAATCCATCATTCCTAACCTGAAACCTATTTACTACTGATCACCCATTGAATTAATAATAAAACCAAGTGTCATGTTGACCATTTGTATGTCCCATTTGTTTGGATCAGAGGTGGTATTCAGCAGGTTCTGACCAGTTCTGGAGAACCAGTAGCAGAAATTTTAAATAGTTTGGAGAACCGGCAAATACCACCTCTGACTGGAGATTTTACAGTATCCTTCCTCTGCCACACTCACCAAGCCACACCCACAGAACCAGTAGTAAAAAAAAATTGAATCCCACCACTGGTTTGGATGGTGGCATATTCTGAATAAATCAAGCCTTGATTACATGAAAACAAGCAGGTGAAAAACACCAGCATACTTTATGTAACATGTAGTATAAAGCTCATTGTTGCCTTGTGAGCCATTACAGACTTATAGATGAGACCAGTAACTTCATAAAAATTCACCAGAAATTATACCAATACCAAGTACTTTTTCCAAATGCTTGTAGCTTTCTCTACATTATTACATTTTGTGTTACCATTTTACAATAGCTGCTTTTACCTTTTCCTTTCCATTTCAGTTAGATTTTTTTTCTTTTTTTTAAATTTCAAGTGTAAGAAACTCAGAAGTATAAGGCATTGTTCTGTGATTTTCGTTCATTCCAATGAAACTGTTACATAGTTCCCATTTGAATTCCAAAATGTGGTTGTTTTTCTCAGGTTTTAATTAGCTTATTAATGCAGGGATGCCCTTGACTGCTTATCTGGAAGAAAAGAAACTAAAAAGCTTAATCCATTGTCTCATAACAGAAGCATATGTTGCCCTGTTACTTAAGCCACAGTGTAGTTGCATGAGCTGTATTATGTATTTATTAACTTTTCATAGAATTAAATCATGGTCGAGTATTTTTCGTTGTCAGGCTTAAATGAGGCAATTAGAGGCAGAATCTGGAAGCTACAGCTGCGTAATGAAGTCTAATGGGTATGATTCAAGAATCCAGTTTTCTTCACTTGCTTTGTTATAGGCCACGTAATTTACATTGTAGAAGGGAGAAGGAGCAAATAAGTACATTTGCAGGCAAGATTGAGTGTCCCATATATTTTCCTGTAAGGTAGCACTCTACATACACAATCCCTTATTGTGCACCCAGCAGCAGCCTACAGTAAATACATCACTTCTTGATTTATTTAAGCCTTTGGATTTCTTGGTGGAATCACAATATTCAAGAACTGTACAAGCAGAAATAAATCACAAAAAGGACTCCTAATATTTATTAGTGACACTTGTCTTCAGCTATTTCTACAAATAGAATAAAGTGTAAAAACTACTTTGTAGATGATCCCAGCCGTTTAGATCTGTTGGTTGTATGAAAGATGCGATCTTTTGGTTGTAGGAAAAGATCCACCACCTTCAGATTCTACTAACCTACCTCCCTGATACAGGTGGCAAAAGGGAACAAGGTAAAATATAATATATTTTTGACAAAAGTGCTCTTAAAATTCCCAGAAAGAAACTGGCTATTAAACAAGCAGTAAGAAAATTGGATTCTTCTCAAAAGATTCGTGGCTGGTACTTTTTTCATCCCTTTTATGTTCTTTGTGTTCCTCTGATTTTAGGAAATGATGATAACCTTAACTCCATCTTTTACGAGCACCTAACAAGATCTCTGCAGGAGACCCTTTGTGGAGATTTGATTCTTGGACGCTGGGGAAACTACAGTTCCGGGGACTGCTTTATTTTGGCATCTGATTACTTAAATGCTTTTGTTCACTTGATAGAAATTGGAAATGGTCTTGTCACATTCCAACTCAGGGGGCTAGAATTTCGAGGTAAGACCTCTCCTTACCTTAAAGAACAGCGGTCAAGAAAAAGCAGAAAATTCATTCATTGCGTGGATCTGAAATTTAGCATGAAATTTGAGTAGCTGCTAAATCATTTCAGATTCTTCGACATAAGGAGTTTTTGTGTAACAAATACTGCCAGAAAGTGACAGCCAGACCCATTCTTTCCAGGGCCAAAATGGTTTTCATGTCTCATATCTGGTTTATTGTAAAACAGGATTAATATCTAATTCCATGGGGATTAAACACAACAGTGACCTGGTGACCCATTAGATATTAGTAATATGTAATAAACTTGCACTCCTGACTTTTCTATATTTATTTTAGATGTGAATCCCACTAAACTCAATAGTATTTAGTACATTCCCAAGGAACATTTTATAAAGCTTCAGCCTTCATCATTAATAGCTCTTGTTTCCTGGTTCTATAGATTGCATTTTGCTTTGCTTTTATTTTTTTTCTCCTAGTGAAATCTATACTGGATAATCTGGGATTATCTTTGTTATATGTGAACATACCTTCAGTGTTATTAGAGCTTGACTTTTCTTATCTCTGTAATAAGAGACATTAAAATGATACACTTACGCAATAACAGAATCTAAATATTTATGATTAATATCTTATCAATATGCTTCATGATGTGTGAGCTGAACAGTACGCATTTACATACCTCAAAATTATGCATATTTTGATTTTCATTATTACCCAAAAATGAAATATAGTTTCCCCCAAAATAAGACCCTGTCTTATAATTTTTTTTGCTACCAAAAAAAGGCACCAGATCTTATTTTGGGGGAGGAGAGAATGTCTTCCACTGACTCACCCCACTTGCATGTGTCGCCCCTGGCCTCCCTTTCGCTGTCAGAGGCCTTCAGAAACTTCTTCTACAGCCAGCAAGGCTTTCCTGAAGGCCTCTGCAGACAATAACAGAGCTCTGGATTGATCTGGTGCTGTTAACAGCTGCAGAGGCCTTCAGGAAAACTTTGATGGCTGCAGAAGAAATGGGCTGGCAAGGCAGGTGTCGCGATGTGCGAGGCCTGGCTACAACTGTCCGAAGGTAAGTAGTAGGGCAGCTCCACCCCCCATCCCCACCCTAGTTTCATTTTTACCCATGCACCCTGGAGTGGGTAGGGTCTAATTAGGGTTTATTTTGGTGGTAGGTCTTGTATTGGGCACACATGTAAAAATCAAGCTAGTAACTTACTTTTGGGATAGGTCATGTTTTCGGGGAAACACGGTAGATGTGGTCAGGCCAAAAAGCTCTACTGAGGAGGCTTCTGGTGATATTATTAATCAATAAACAAGAACAAATAAAAAAAGGATACAGGGTATAATTATAAAATATATTATCACCTCAGTTAGCAGAGCACAATATCTACATATTTATGTTGACTTAATAGCTTTGCCTTTATTGGTCCATGTATACTTTTATTTTTATTTTTTTATTTTTATTTTTTCTTTATGTTTTTTGGATTGGGTTTATATTGCCTATGTCTGTCTTTGTTTATACATATTCCATTTTTTCTTTTCTTTCTCTCTTTCTCTTTCTTTATGCTGGTGATATTTATTTTAAGTCATGAAGTGATATCTCTTTCTAATTATTAGGAACTTGATGTTCAAATGTTATATGAATGTTGTACGGTATAACTATTACACAAATACTTCCTGCTGTTTGTGTGGATCTGAGATAGCAGATTGAGGTTTAGTTTGCACTAGTAATCCGATGTGTTATTCAAGCCAATACCTATGCTTTTATAAATGTATTATAAGAGATATATATAGGACCAACTGTTTTAGATTTGGGGTTAATGAAATTCAATTATAGGATTGTTCATCTATCCACCTACTTTCTCAGATCACTTAGATCCAAGCTGGTTTGAAAAGACTGGATTTCATTAGAACTAACAAATAAAACCTTTCGTACAAAACTTTCTTAAATTGTTATGGCCTGGCTGTTGAACAGGCATAGCCAGGATATAAAACTAGAAAGGGTACTCTGAGTTTATGATTAAGCCATTTAGAAAGCTAAAACTTGGCATGCACATCAGAATTGCATATGCTTCTTTCTACATTTAAGGCAAAGTATTTGGAAGTTATTGTTATTTTATTTAATTTTAGACCGTGGCATAGAATCTGACATGATTTACTTAGTAAGGTGAAATAAACAGTCTGTTCCTTAGCAGTTTCTGTTCGGCACAGTGTAATCAGCCCATTTTATTTATTGCCATAACTCTCCCTTTGGTTGGTTTAATTGGTATATATTAACTATTTAAAGGAGAGCCAGCAATTTTCTATGAAGAGCTTATTTGCACTGAGCTCTGCAGTTACTGCCATTGTGATTATCCTGTATTTCATTTCCAAGGGACTTACTGCCAGCAAAGGGAAGTGGAGGCTATAACAGAAGGAGATGAGGACAATGAAAATTGCTGCTGCTGTAAACCAGGCCACTTCCCTCACTTGCTCTCATGCAACGCAGCTTTCAACCTTCGATGGCTGACTTGGGAAATAACACGGACTCAGTACATTCTAGAAGGGTACAATATTATTGACAATAGTGCAGCCACCATGCTCCAAGTGTTTGACCTGCGAAGGATACTCATTAGATATTACATAAAGGTAATATGGTCCAGTCATCTGCAGGAAAGCTGTCTATTATTGATTTATTATTTTCATTTTATGTGGAATGGCCGCCTACTTGCAAAGCAACTCTGAGCAGCTAATGGGATTTTAAAAAATAGGTAGTCCTCAGCTTACAACCATTCATTTAGTCACCCTTTGAAGTTACAATGGTCCTGAAAAAATGTGATTTATGAACGTTTTTCACACAACCATTGCAGCATCCCCATAGTCACATGATCAAAATTCAGACACTTGGCAACTGGCAAGTATTTATGACGGTTGCAGTGGCTCAGAGTCATGTGATCACCTATTGTGACTCTCTGGCAAGCACAGTTAATGGGGAAGCCAGAGTCACTGAACAATTGGGTTACTAACTGAACAAAGGCAGGGATTTGTTTAACGATTGTGGCAAGAAAAGTCATAAAGTGGAACAAAAGTCACTTAAAAACTGCCTTGCTTAGACCCAGAAATTTTGGATTCAATTGTGGTCATAAGTCAAGGACCACCTGCACAATGCAAAAGCCACAATGCAAGAAATAAAATATGCTGTATGTACAGTGTCCAGTATATTTCATTTCTTTCATTGTGGCTTTTGCAACACTCATATATTTACATTTACATCAGACATATATCTCAGCCTTCTTCTTTTAAACATTCCTCTTTTTTAATTTTCCATCTGGTTGACAACCAGATTTGAGTGAGGGGCTGTTTATCAACTTTAAAAGAATTCTGCTCCCTTCTTAGGAAAGTGGGTCAGTTCCTTTAGCCATTCTGCATATATTTGAAATAATTTACTGCATGGCTACTGGAGATTATTTAAATACTGCCTTCACATTTGCTTGTCAATTCATTCTTTTTTTTAAAAGAGAGGGAGGGAGAGAGCTCACAAGACTGCTTTTCAAAAAAAGGGTGGTTTCCCCTCCTCCCATTTGTGTTGTGTCAGCATAAATCTCCTTAAAAGGCATGGTGTGCTTATCTCTTTCCAAAGGCTAAAAAAAAAAAAATTAAAACTCTGGCTTTTGCACTGAATAGGTCCCTTTCTCCACGTTTAAACACAAATTTAAATATAAAACTGGAAGAATGATATTCATAAATCTTAAGCAGGTATAATAACATTTGTATAATTAATCCTTTCCAATGTCTTAATGTTGGCTTTCTTGCAGTTTTCTTCTACTATTATGCACCTTTGAATCATCCCTTCTGAGTTCTTCTGAGCCATAAGCATGTATTCCTGCAAAAACCCAGGAGTACAAAAAGTAGAAGAAAATATAGAGTAGTGGTACATATCCTCCATGGAGGCATTTCTCTAATGTCTGGAATAATTGAACATCCCCTAGTTCAATGAGTTACTAAAGCAAACTGCATTTCTGTTTTCATCTACAGAGCATTATATATTTTACTGCAAGCTCCCCCAAAATCCTGTCCTGGCTAAGAGATGAATCATTCCAGAAGACACTACAGCCATTCTCCAAATGGCATTATATTGAGCGTGACCTTGCCATGTTCAGCATTAACATTGATGATGATTATGTCCCTTGCCTTCAAGGAATCACCAGAGCAAGTTTCTGTAGTGTTTACTTAGATTGGATTCAGTTCTGTGCTGGGAAAAGAGTGGAGGTGAGCATTTATTTATCAAGTTTATATAACCCTTTGTAGGTAGTTGCAGTGGTTCCTATTAAAACTTTTACAGTATGGTGTTCTTTTCTTTTTTAAAGGAAGTTCATCACATTTAGTCCCAATCATAAATCATAAATTTTCTGAAGTGCTAAATATTTCCCAACAAATCAACCTGATTTCCCCAACCCAGTGCTTCCAAAATGTTATTAAATGACATTTCCCAGAATCCCCAGCCAGCACAATCAAAAAGAGAGACTGGATGAGGGTTATGGATTCTGTAGGTCAACACATCTGGAGAACTCAAGTTGGAAAGGCTTGTAAGGGGGTGACTCTTAAAAGCTCCTTGAAAACTAAGGTTGAAAGAGAACAAATTGGGGAAAATGGGAAACAAGTATGGCATGAAGAAATTATTTTACGTTCAAAGTAGGCAACCTGGTGTCCTCCA